CAATCTCTATGGTAATAGTTTGTGTATAGTCTATGTTACAGGTCACGTGCTTATAACCCCTTGACTTACAGAGATCTGATAATGAAGGCATTCTATACATGTTCTGTACTGCTCTATTCTCTACTTATTCCTACTCCCCCATTCCAAACTCCCAGCACCCACCTGTATGGTCAAAACAAGTAGAAGGCCAGCTCCAAAGATGATTCAAGTTTATGATTTCCTATAAAAGCCAAATAATAAATAGGCATTTTTGTCTAATGCTTATGACTTGTTTGGTTAGTCTTATGACTGCCATTTTTCAGATGATGAAACCAAGTGGTTTTCCTCAGGTCAGTGAGTGGCCCAGCTGCATTTTGATCACTGGTGTCTTTGATGACAGTAGCCTTTCCCTACATCAGTGGTTCCCAAAGAGTGGTCCCCAGACCAGCAGCAGCAGCATCACACGGGAAGTTGTCTTGAATACAAATTCTTGGGCCCCATTCAACCTACTGAAACAGAACTCTGGGGGTGGGGTATAGCAACCTGTTTCACAGGCCCTCCCAGTGATTCTTACATGTGACCAGAGGCGAGAACCACGAGCTTATGTCGTGAGCACAACCTGCATTCAACTATGGCTTGTACTCAGTGCAGAGAGTATTTAAGTTCTGGTGGGTGTCTTTTTCCTTTCTTCTTTTTTAAATCATTTCTGAACAAACATATATTACCAATATATGGTAATTTGATATTCCTCCTCAGCGTCACATGCGGTTGGGTTAGAAGAGCAGGCAGCCTGGGAAAGGAAGCCCAGATCCACTGCCTGCTGTCACATAATCTTGGCAAATTGTATAACCTTTGAGAGTTTTGGATTTGTCGTCTATAAAAATGAAATAAAAACGAGGAGATCGTGCACTAAAAGCAGTTGGTCCAATGCCTGTAACGTACCAACCACTCAATAAATAAATATATCTTTCATTATGATCATCATTAAAGACAATACTACCAGTAACATTATAATGAATTGCATGAGTAGTGAAGTTTATGTGTTATGTATGTCACTAAGTTCCAGAGATGGTCCTCTACTTAAAATTTTTAGTATGGAAGGACCTTAATTTTTCCATTTTCAAAATGATTTCCAATTCATTTCAATGCAATATACATTTTTGATCTCTCATAATGTAGAAGGTATCCCACTGTTTCAGGATATTTTTCAAGTAGAGTGATGATACCAGTTATAAATTAATCTACTAGGGAATGGATATCAGTATCTACTGAATACTTTTTAAAAATTAAATACTTTAAATCTTTGTTCCATATTGGCTTAAAGCTTTAAATTGTATCTTTTAACATTATTTGAAAAATAATACATTATCACAAAATTAAGAGGCTGTGTTACTATTGACACACATTTAATTTCAGAATAAATTGTTTATTAAAAAAAACCCCATTATACCATATTGTGATCTCTGTATAGTTGATTGTACAATCTCAATAGTGTTTTAATACGAAATCTTCAAATAATAATTCACCTACAGTAATAATATAATCCCTATATTTTACTCAGTGAAGCTTATGCCTATTATTTCTTGTTTATTTGTGCTAATCAGTGAGGAAACCAATTTCTGTCCCTTTTATTACATTTTTTATACTTACAAAAGGCTATCATCTTCTCTATGTCTTTTTTTTAGAGTGATATTTTCAGGTCTCATAAAAAACCATTTCCCAAACCTCCTCTTGCAGCTCATGTGTTCAAGATCTTTTTTATCATTTGTATTGTTCTCTACTGAATGCTTGGCAATTTGTCTCTTTTCTGAGATGTGGTGTTCTGCTGAACTCAGTCCCCAAACCACAGCCTAACAAGACCTGAATGTAGCTCATCCCTTTTGATGCATGACATCACCATTACAATTCAACACGCTGCAGCATTTGAATATATTAACATGTGGACTCATTCAATTTATCATTCACTGGAATTCTTGAGTTTTTCTCTCTCTGCTGCTACTGTCTCTAGCTTTGCAATGCACTTTTTGGTTCCATTACCTTTCCCTATACCAACTTTCATATCCATTCGATCCTCCTGAATCCCACCTGGCCCTTGGACCTATCTCCCCAGCATATCAAGATCCGGCTGTAAAATAGCACAGAGACGCCTGGGTGGCTCAGTCATCAAGCGTCCTGGGATAGAGCCCCATCAGGCTCCCTGCTCAGCAGGAAGCCTGCTTCTCCCTCTCCCACTCCCCCTGCTTGTGTTCGTTCTCTCTCCCTCTCTCTCTCTCTCTCTGTCAATTAAATAAATAAATAAAATCCTTAAAAAAAAAAAAAAGCACAGCACCCCAGATTTGCAATCCCTGCGAACTTCCATGACTCACTGTCCTTTAAATTTATTAGCATACATACACAGCATCTCCCAAACCATTTTGTAAGTATCCTATTGCATTACCTTGGGAGGCTTTTCTTACAGATGATTTTTAAGGGTCCTGTGAGACAAAAAACAAGCAAACAAATGCAACTGACTGGTGTGTTGCTTCAGGCACATTTAAAAAGAAACCCTCCCCTCCCCTTTACTGACTTGATTTAAGAAAGTTAATCTCAGAAACAACTACATGATCACACATTGTTTTATTATTAAGCTGTCACTGAAAAAAAAAAAAATACAGGTTAAATCTCTGGTCCTCACACACAGGTAGCTCAGAGAGTGCCCTGTACCCTCACTGCGAGAAGTCCCTTGTGTATGCAGGGACACGTCCTATGGCTGGTTGGGCAAATCTTAGAAACACAGTGTTAGTTCCACTTCGCGTGTTTACTTAGCCAGTTACAGAAGAAAGCAAAGGAGGAGAACATACAAATGATGAAGGAAAGAATGAAAGAACCTTCAAGTATTGGACCCAAGTTTAGTTATCTTGCCATAAATAAGTGGCAGAGTTATCAAAACCGAAATGAACTGATACCTCATGCATAAACTTCCATGTATAAGGGAATTTTGGATGTGACGGGTTGTTCAAATTCACAGACCGAAATTTACTACACTCGTTCAACTAAACATCAATCTGTGTACCTTCCCTCTGCCTGGAAACCCCATCCACGCCCCCTGCACTCCCCACCCCTGACTTAAGTATTCATGCACCTGCCCAGGTCTCCGCCTGCCCTCCTAGTCCCAGCAGGATCCTGCTCATCCTCTTGAGGATGAATGTGATTCCCCCAAAGCAGAGCCCTCCCTTCTTGCTTCACACTGTCATGTGCTGAGCTCTTGCTTCAAAGAACAGACTCTTTGTTTATAGAGATGCATTCTCTAATTTTGAGCTCTCCCTCTTCTCTTTGCTTCCTGGCCACCAGCTGGTATTGAGAATTGCTCAGTAAAATCTGGTTAAATAAACGAATTATTTAAAAAATAGCATTTTCCCAATAGCTGTACTTTTATGGGCTAAAAAGCAACTGTCAGGTCTGAGAAAAGGCATGTGTCTGCAGCAAGAGGAATCAAACACACACAAGACCAATCAAATAAAAAACAAAGTGGCAGAGACCACGATCTTTAAATAATATATTTTACTTTTTTTCTCATATGCATTTATGATCAGGTATCCTAATACAATTTTGGGTGTATTGGTTTTGGGTAAATTTTTATGTGTTCATCCCTTAAATACATGTGGTAGAACTGAAGGAGGTGGTAGAAAAAAGGAAAACAAAGCTTTTATTATAACATTTTCAAGTTTGATGTAATAGGTCTCAGAAGACTTAGCAAAAAGGATAATCATTGGTAAAAGTTAATAAATGAGAACACTTTTAGTTCTAGAAAAGACCCGTGACAAATTTAACTGCTGTCTTTGAGTACATAATGGATCAACTGAGAGAGGATAGTGATAAAATATTTTCCGTCTTAGCTCAGGGTAAACCCAGAAACGGTTAACTTAAAGAGCAAACTGGACAATGGTTAAAAAGGTGACAAATTACTTAGCAATGCAGTGAAAGATCTCTCACAGATTTGTGAAGCAGGATAGCTGTGCTTTGCTCTGGAGTCAGTTAACTACTACATTTAAACCTAAGTAACTTTTGACCAGACAACAATCGATTTGTTCCTTAAGTAGGAACAAATTACACTCTGTGGTTCTCTATATTTGCCTAGAACAAGTCCCTTTCTCTGATTCCCGTGAGTCATCCCAGCCACTCAGCTGGGGACAAGCCCACGGTTCAATGCAGGCACGCAAACTAGCACCATCTGAATAAACTGTCCCGCAGCTCCTCAACTTTCCCATCAGGCTTGCCTTAACACAGGGGCCAAAGACTGGGAGGAGTGATTCTAAGTTGCCCAAAGTGTAATAAGAAATGGAACATAAAGGTCTTTGGAAATATAAAAATACCTAAGAAGGTTTAAAAAACTGTAGTGAAAAGATCATGATCTTCAATTTTTATGCCTAATATTCAATATTAAAACATCATTAACATTAACAAGTGATATTTAGTATAATATTTTTATCAAAGGTAATTCTATTAAACAATTTTAACATGACATTATGTATTAAAATCCTGTATTGTGAAATTCCAAGATAAGATACAAGTTTAAGGTCTCTGTCAAGGGTCACTAAAAGAGTAGATATTTTTCTATAACCTTTTTGGTTTCTGGTTTTTAATATTAACATACGTTATACTGTTTTACTGTATCATACGCTTGCAGTTGTTTTATAAATAAATACCACAACCTTTATAAAGAACCTTAGAATCTGGCCTACATAAAATTATTTTATTCTAACGGAATAGCAAACTACCCAAATTCAAAATAAGCTGGCACCCTATGTATGAAGAATAAGAGCCTAGATTAAGAAAGTTAATTTAAAACTCTACAAAACACTCCAGGGGAAAGTCTATTGTGGCTTTTATGTGATCGCCTCGTAAGCGATGAACCTGAAACACAGTTTCACAGTGTTTTCTCCTTGTCTTGTTTTCCTCCCGTTGATAAATGCAATGCATCAGCTGAGAATCTGAAAGCAGTATTAAATCATATCAGAAATACAGGATTTGGTTCCACTTACCTGTTCCTGTTGCTGGAAATCCAATCTGAAATAAGTGTCGATGCCTGTTGGTGACAATGTTTGTTGCCAAAACTGCACGCTAGCATTATAACTTCTCTCCGGAGTTCTCTAGGTACCATCAAAAGGAAAAACAATGAAAAAGCAGTGTTACTATCTGGAGAGGAAGGGTTCCTCATTGCATAAGCAGTAGATAAGTAAATAATCAGCACAAAATTAATTTCCAGATACAGAAATCCTATTTTGCTGAGGAGGAGATGGTTAGGCAGAGGAGAAGTTCAGGATAATACAAGTCACAAGTCTTCTCTGGAACAGTAATACAGTTGGGCAGGGGCGGGGTTCAAATCTCCCTTTTACCAGTAATGGCAGATCTTACATTGAAGCATGGCAAGGATATGCTTTTGTTCTCAGTACCAGGTAGGGGAAACTGTGCTATCCATCTGCAGGCCTCCCAGCAAAGGGAAATGAAAGATGCAGAATGAAAGAAAGATCATCTCATGCTGCTGAAGTCGCAATGGTACTAGTTGTATGTTATTGTACAGCTCTGGGGGAAAAGAGGCAAATAGGAAAATAAAACAGTACTCATGTTGGTAGGATGCTTGAACAAGAGATCCATTAAAATTGTTTTTTGGCCATCCAAGCTTGATGTACGTGGTTGCAACTTGCTTTAAAATATATTCCTAAATGGGGGTTAGGGGAAATAAAGAGGATGTCAGTTTCAAACCTCTCCATGATGATAATTACAGTTACATAATACGATTAAAATATTTTCTAAATGCACCTACTTTAAAATATCAGTAAAAAGATGGCCATGGTAAAGGCTCTAATTTTCTCCAGCTCAGTGTTTCAAATATAGAAAATAAGGATAAAATACAGTTGCAATGGTAGAAGTCTACTCTTTACTTCCTATTGAATGATTAAGTAATTTGCACTATTCAATATTTTAGATGAAAATTTTGGTAGCGAAACAAGGACACTGAGGAACAGCGACAATGACACCCATGCACACAAATATACAAATGTATGTAGACATAGCTTGTGGAAAATAAGCACCTAACATTTATGCAGTTCATGTCAACAGAGCACATTTAAAGAAAAGCTGTGATGTAAGCCCAGCTGATAGCCTAGCACTGTTGAATCTGAGATACACAGAACACTCTTCAGTAAAAAATATGGCATTTCAAAGTCAAAATCCATTGAGCTAATGATATATTTAAATATTAGCAGCGATATAAAATATGCTCTCCTCACTTTAATGTGGCCCTTGAATTTTGTCAAAGAAATGAAAGCATCGAAATTACAATAAAAGCAATTCTTAACTTTTACTGAAATTGAGGTGTCTGGCATGAAATACTATTCCAAAGTACAAATATATACAAAAATGTATTTTACTTTTACAGAAGCTTAACATGGCAGTGTCTCTGTTAAGGAGAAAAGAGAAGTGTGGTAAGTCTTTCTCTAGCCGATAAAAGTTACACCAGAACTATAACGACCCATTTTTTTGCATGTCGTTGTCAGGGATTAGATCAAACTAATGACAACGAACAGTCAAGCCAGGATCATTCCAGTTTTAAAAAATATATGAAAACAGAGGTATTGGCATGCAGACTTGGAATAAGGAAACAAGAAGCAACTCTGATGGTCATCAGACAATGTAGAGGGGGCCAGAAACATACTTCATGTCATGGGAATCTAGTCTCGAGTAATTCCAAATGTGGAGGTTAATTAGCAGAGCCCATGGGTCATAAGACGTAGGAGGATTTTATAAAACACAGGGCAGACTCCTAAAATAACTGAGGGGGACCAAATAGGGCTCGAAGGTAATAGAAGGCAAAGAGACATAGTCTCCTATGCAAAGCCTCACTGGCGTTAAGAAATTTAGGAATCAGAAGCTCATTAGCCATACTTAATCTTATTCAAAATGGTTATTAAATTAGATTAGGTGGTATCCGCCATGCAGTGTTGGTTTACCAGACTTCAGCTTAGGAAATCTGGTCAGGTAACATTTTGGAATGTTTGTCATGTCTTTGTGTCTATTTGGATTATCTACTGTTTGCTCTCCTGTATCCCCTTGGACCCAATTATGAATGGGCTCTCGCCTCAATGTTGATCTTATCCTTGTTAATTAAGGAAGTGAATTGAATTCACTATGCCCTTTTGGATAAAAATAATGACTAAGAATCTTTACTGAAACTGTCTATATTCTGTTAAGATCTTTGGGATCCCTCCACCCAGGTTAAGTCCTTTGTGAACACAGAGCCCTTTAACTCTTGGAAAGTAAGTTTGAACTTTAAGGATTTGCCATGTATATTTGTTCTCAAATTCTGAGGCATTTAAGCTTAATTGACACTTTTAGGCCAGAATAAAAAGTAGCTCAGATTCCATTTCTTCTTCAAGTAATTGTCATCAGTGTTGCACAGAAAATCAGGACAAAAATGATAATACAAATTAGAAGAAGAAACACAAATAACTCTGGATCAGTTGCATAAAGTGGATAATGAGAAAACAGTTCATCATCTGAAAATAAGAAAGAAGAAAATAGGTCTTTTTACATTGAAGACATTGTATTTCTCCATGCGGTCCAGTAATTTATCAAGGGGATAAAGAGCTCGACTGGCAGCATGCCAAGGAAGAAAATCCTTCTCCTCAGACAGGTATCTGATAATCTCCAGGGGGATATGCTGAGGCAAGTAGCCGGCTCTGCACAGTCAAAAAAGTTCATGTTAATTATATGCAGAAAATATACATGATGATGCAAAAGTGAAGATTTTACTTATGCAAATAAAAGGCAGAAAGCAAGATTCATCACAGTATAAAGAAGTCATACTCAGTGCTATAAAAATAAAATTACTCACTTTTTAAATATAGTCCTACTTAGGAAGCCATGTGCCTTAATACATACAGAGTTAGAGAGTTAAAAATTTACATACACAAAAATATCAGAATGCATATTTTTTTAAAAGGAAAGAATTCCGGAATTTGAATAAAATCGACTCTAGGTATTTTCCTTCACAGAAACTCTTCCGAGGTCACATGTAATTGAAAATAATTGATTACTGAAATGCAATTTCCGTTTCTCAATGCATTCTCTTTGCTCTTCATGTAGTTCTGTGTAATAATATTTACTACACATTGTTTTCAAAAAAACAATCAAACTAAAGAGGCAACTTATAGTTGTGACTGTATCTGTGTCATACTACAATTTGAACAGCTTGAAAGAAATGGTTTCCAAAACACCTATGAAAATCTCAGTTAGATTTTAATAGAGTCCAGATTCCAAACAAGTTGAAAGAACCGGCTCTTCCCATGTATTATTTTTCTTTCAAAATAGATGCTGTGTCACCTTGGGGACCAATGTCAGATTCCTTGGAGAATATGAAACTGTAGCTTTTTAAAAAATGATCTGAACACGCGCTGCACACATTTAAAGAGGGTATGTCCAAAAAGGATCCTAAAAGAAGTGTATATCTCTACTCTCCAGGAAACTGCATATAAAATCCTTGCAAATCAAAGCATTAAAAATGACAATCCACAGTACATTAAAAGGTAGTCTGTCTTAGCCTCGATGTCCCTAATGCATACACATTGTGACACTATGTGTTTTGCTGGATTTTTTTTTATTTTACAAGAATGATCAACTGAATGCAGACTTCTAACATGGGAACCAGCTAAATATGAAAGCGACCAAAGCCTGCTTATCTCCTTTATCTACCTTTCGCACTGATGTTCTTTTGTAACATCACAAAATTAGATGGACCTTTTATTTTGTCCTTGGTAGAGGTGGACAGGCAGGGAGCAAAGCTCTGTCTCGTCTTCACCTAAAATAAGTTTGCCAGATTATCTAATTCTTACACAGTCTGACAAGCAAAAGTTACTCTATGGTAAACTTGTGGCCATGTTCAGATTTCTGTAAGAAAAACCAATTCTGGGGGCGCCTGGGTGGCTCAGTTGGTTGAGCGACTGTCTTCAGCTCAGGTGATGATCCTGGACTTCCAGGATCGAGTCCCACATCGGGCTCCCAACTCCTTGGGGAGTCTGCTTCTCCCTCCGACCTTCTCCTCTCTCATGCTCTCTCTCACTCATTCTCTCTCAAATAAATAAATAAAATCTTTAAAAAAAAAAAAAAAGAAAAGAAAAACCAATTCTGAAGACGTTTTTAAAACACAGATGTGTGTCACTCTAATGATTTTAGTTCACTCATGGCATAATTCAATGACTTGTGCTTTGTAGGAGATATGACTAAAGAAGATGACAAATAATGTTATGGAAGAGACTTGGGTTTGAGAAAGAGCTGGGAACTACTATTGCTTCCCATAGAGTTAAGCAAATTCATCTTGCCAAGCTTCACATTCCTTATCTACAAAATAAGAAGTTTGAAAAAGAAGACCTCTTTTTTAGCCCCAAAACCTTTTATCCTAACCTTCTTGTATACAATTTAAACTGCAACAAGTATTACAATAATACGGTCATACTTTATTTGTTCAAAAATTTGAAAAAAAAATTTGTAATTTCTTTCATTCCCCATTCTTCAGTTGTTCAATATGTGTAAGTCTGAGAGGCAGGGCTTGGATCTAGGTTTTTTAGAAGATATCTGACAGAGTGTAAAAAAAAAAAAAAAAAGCAATTTATGAGGTAAATAGCACAGAGAATATTTTGCTCATTCTTTAGATAAAGAGAAATATGTCTCAAGATTGAGTACCCTGACAGAATCACCTAGCTCATAGTGGCAAATCTGGATGCCCATCTCCAGAGTCCTACTTCCAAATAATGACAGAAGTTCCAAATAATGACAAGCCAAGGAAAGTATTCATTAAATAGGGAAAGAAAGCAAGTTCTGTTTTGAGTCCTTATGGAAAAAATTGCTAACTGTTCACCAAAAGTCCATGCTTTCCTCTACTTTCTGGGATAGATTATAATACCCATTTTTTTGGTATTTAGGTATGGTCATGTGAATGCTCATCACTGCCAAGGTTAGACCTTGTCCATTAGCTCCTCAAAACTCATTTTCCCTGAAGTGAATCATTCAGGGTGACCTTGGAAATCTTGTACTGAATATGTCAGAAACCCTCCTGGGTGTCTGGATGACTGCATGCCTATGTACTAGTTCTCACACCAGTTCTATTATGTGAGCAGAAAAAAAAAAAAAACAAAAAAAAAAAAAAACACTTCTATTGTGTTTGATCCAAATACATGCTTGGGTCTATTTTTTTTTAAAGCAGTTAACCTTCTCTAATGCAGCCCTCAAATAGAATAAGAAACAGATTACATACAAATTGCTCTCATTTGAGTTGTTACAAACATACATAAGTAATTACCTACTACATAATTCAATACACTCACATTTAGCCTACTAGATCAAAATATGTAGCTACACTCAATTGGACAAGATGATCAGCTTCATTACAAAATTAAGACTTGTAAGAGATAATGTTGCTGAATAAGTTACCTAGTTTAGATATGTGTTTGTGTAATTAGCTGGTAATGATATCTGTGATTACTACTACTGATAATGCAATCAATATGGGGGAAGTGTGTGGAATCCAATGAATGGAACACTACATTAGCTTCAAGTAATCAGCCCAGTAGGGAGCACATTTAGGGTCCCGATGCCAAAAGGCAGTTGTCCTAGATTTGCATTATCACAGAGAAATGCTGCTAACAAAATAGGGGAAAAAAGAGCAAATTTAAAGAATATTTCACATACAACTAAGTGTGTTTGATTAATATTTTAGGTAGAGGTTGTAGATGATATCTATCTTCTGTACTGGGGTATAGGTTGGCATAAGAAATAATTAAGGGGGGGCGCCTGGGAGGCACAGTCAGTTAAGTGTCTAACTCATGATTTCGGTTCAGGTCATGATCTCATGGGTTGTGGGATGGAGCCCCACGTTGGTCTCTTCATTCAGCGGGGAGTCTGCTGGAGATTCTCTCTCTCCCTCTCCCTCTGCCACTTCCCACAGGTGCACACTCTTTCTCTCTTAAGTAAATAAATAAATCTTTTTAAAAAAAGAAATAATTTAGGAATCAAAGGAAATATGATGGGGAAATGAGGAAAGTTAAAAAAAATAGATGAAGGTTGCCCTTATGCACCTATATATATAGTTCCTCTTCCCACTTCCCCTCCTTAAACGCACACGTACCCTCTTCTCCTTCTTTGATTTACTGGAGCTTACAATGAAATATATCTTTAGGCATACAAGAGAGTATATCTTTAATAAGAAGAAGATTAAAACCAGACAATATTAGCTGATATTGAAATGCACTGATCTTAGCTGGCTTTGTTTTCACCTAAGATGCAAAACTACTTTTTAAAAACTGCTCTGAATTCTGTGAATGTTAATTCTTAAATCTACTGAGATGGGTGGCTTGCACACAAATAACTTATTTTATGTGAATTTCCTTGCAAAGCATTTGGCTTCTGGGTGCTTGATACTTGGAAAAAAATAAAAAGCACAATCAGACTCTTCAGAACATCCTGCTTCCAGGTTTCACTAGTGGAATATTCATTTAAAACCAATAAATTACGTACTACATCTTTCACAATATGTCTAAGAGACACTATATCTCTCTTTTAGGGCACAGATTTTTAAAGCAATTGCTGACATGCTTAATTAAAAAGTTTACTATTCTATCTATTATCTTTTGTTAATCATTGGAAAGGGCTTTTATGTGTTCATTGTGGGAAGATCCCATGGCCGAGACTGGAAACTCCAGTAGTCCTCAAAGTACCATAGACTCAAAAAGGAAAAACACAGGGGAGGTATCTTCGTCAACCAACAGTCTATTTGGTCAGGTCACAGATGAAACAAAAGCTATGATTCAGGCATTGGAGAAATGTTGTCGGCAGAGACGGAAAGGAAATTAGTTATTTGTAGCCCCATGAAATCAGAACCGCAAAAAGTTGCACAACAAAGAATTCTCACAGCACCCCCCTTTTCCTGTTCCTTCTCTTCCAGAAAGCCTTCTTCCACACTGACTTAGGCATTTCTTTTTTGGGCTCACAGAATACCTTGATAACAGTAATCTTTGTAATAGTTATCATGATATTAATCATAATTTTATCATAAGATGGTCTTTCTCACTCACTGGGCTTACCTCCTTAAAGAAATGAAGCATGCTTTGCCTATCTTTGTATCCCCATAGCCTAATGCAGACTCTAGTACAAAATAGGTACTCAATAAATGTTTTATTTTACACCAAATTATAATATGGCAATAATGTCATTGTTCTTAAAAACAGGAGCACTTTACAAGCATAATAAACTTTAATATACATATATGTATTTTTTAAATTAAGCATTTTTTAAGGTTAAAAGATACCAACAGGATGAGGGAAGTCTATTAGAGTGATATTTATACTATTTTTAGTCATCTTGTTTATTAATGGTATACATGATAGAAGATAAGAAGGCCACTGCAATCTAGCTGAGGAGATTTGAATCAGTTAATCTATATCCAAATGAAATAGCTTTATAGCCAGAGAGAAAGCGGAAGCATTGTATAAACACCTCTGGTTTTTTTTTTTTTTTTTTTTTTTTTGGTCCCTGATTAGTAGATTACTTTCCTGGAAGCAACAGCATTATTTTATACCATGTCTTTAAGTAAATTGACCATGGGTTTGGAAATCTCTTTCTCCTAATCAGTAAATGGACAAGGATGAACTACATGATCTCTAGGGTCCCTTCTTCAGTAAAAATTTGA